TATATTTGGTTTAATAATATAATTTTCTTATAAATATAATAATTAATTAATTTGTTAAAACTCGATAATTTTAGATTTTTTATATTTTAAAATGAAATTTTTTTCCCTATTTGATTATGTTTATTCACAGTTAATTAGTTACACGAATTCAAACACTGAGTTTTAATAAGTTGTACTTATGCATAATTACTTGTAATCTTGAATTTTAAGTAATATGCATTAATATACAATACATCATGTATAAAAAATGGTTTTTAAGAGTTTATCAAATACTTTATAATATAATATAGATAACAATAAAAAAATGTGTTGGTGCAAAATAAATATATAAAATATTAATTTTCTCTATTAAACGACCAAATTGAATGTGTAATAAGGAGAATTGTTACACCCCAAAGCAATAGATTGATCAAATAATTATGAACTAAACTCTTGACGTCTTAACAGAGTCTGTCCATAATCTTTCTCCTTAAAATCGGCCCCTCGGGACTCATCAAAACAGATGAGATTTGTCGGCCATTTCGATTGTACAATGATCGATTTTGATACAAACACAAAAAAACAGAGTGACCAAATTGATAAAGATTATTAGTAATCCATAACTTTGAGCTTATAAGAAACTCATAAATCCTTTTTTCAATCCATCAAATAAGAATTAAGACTAATTTATTCTTATTTTAATATATTTTGACGTTATTTTATGTATAATTATTTAAAGGGCAAACATTTTAATATACTGATAATGTCAAGTAGCAAATATAAATACAAATACGATGTGATGGGACGATTTTATTATAACTCATCAACTATTATAAGTGAAATAGGAGCTCGCACGAGTTGTGCTACGACTTTCGTCGCAGGCCAAGTCGTGTAGGCTACTGTTACACCACTTTCATTTTTTGTACGAGAGTTGTTTGTGGGCTGTATCTTGGGTCTTTACCTAAGGGGCTAGTGGATCGTTTGAAGAACTTTTTGGGGTTTTCATGTGTCTTTTGGTAACTCCAATTCAGGTGTTCGGTTGGTGAAATTGTAGCCTAATAGTGTGTGATTATGCTCAGACCTAGGTGAGTTTTCTCTTACTTTATAGACGTATCATTGCTTATCGATACATGTTCCACCGACTAGAATGTGTGCATTCATGTCATGAACTTTTATATCTAAACACAGATCATCACTAAATGTGCATTACAAGCGTGTAGGTATGTCTGATGAATTCTTGACCAATTGGTGTGCACCCAAGTACAATACATGAGTTCGTTTCATGGTACTAATGAAATGACAAGTGCGTAGCCAATTGGGAAGGTCACATGTGTGTGTGACCTTAAGTGTGTACTATTGTTGATAAAGTGTGTATACATATGCGTTGTGTTATTTCCATGTGATTATGCTGCTATTAAAGGTATTTTTACATTGTTGACTTTCAAATGCAAGTATTACTGTGTTTTTAGTGAATTCACTATACCATAGGTCTAATTTTAGCTTTTATAAAACTGGTTACCATTTTCAAGGAGATATCATGTAGAGTCATAGAGAGAGTGCTAGCAAAAAGAAGGTGAAGCTGTGATCCTTGCAGTTTGGAGTGTAAGCGTCATCTTGTAGCTAGATAGTCGCCTTAAACTTGATATGGGTTTGTAATAAATCTCATCAGTAGTATTTTTATCTTTGCGTTGCAACTTATGAGATGAATTTGAGATTGCTGACTTACACGAAATGCTAGTATTGTCAGTTGAGCTATTATTGTTATGATATGATTATTTTGGGTATGTAGATGTTACAGTAGCCATCTTCGAAAAGTGTCTGGATATTCAAAACTGAAACAGATTTGGGTGCTTCTAGTTGCTTTAAACCTTCACAGTAATACACTGTAAAGATAGCCTTCACAGTTTGGTTTATTTTACCTTCACATCATTTTATTGTTAAGTTTTAAGTGTAAAAAAGTTGTTTCACAAACTCTCTCTCTCTCTCTCTCTCTCTCTATATATATATATATATATATATATATATATATATATA